CGCAAACCGGAATCCGAAAGCTTTTTATAGGCCAAAACCTCTTAAAATCTCTCCCAAAATTAGCCCATTCAAATTCAAATTCCAACTCGTCAAATCTTAATTTTGAGATTTGATTAGCTAAAAATAAGGAGATTTAAAATTCAAAAAAAAGATTAGTGAAAGATTTCAATAGATCTTCGAATGATTTTAGGGAGATTCAATATTTTTTTATTTTTTCCCTTTTTTTTCCTTTTTTGTACTTTGTATTTTTTTTTTCAAGGAACCCAAAATTGGGTTATGACAACAATGAGTTTCAATAATGGTGTGTGTATTAAAGAAACCAATTATAGTGCAACCGAGGACTACAATGGGATATTGAAAAAAATTCTACAAGTTGAATATCCTACATTACCAATCAATATAACAATATTGTTTAAATGCGATTGGTTTAATCTTGCACCACAAGGAACAAGGGTTCATTTACAATACAGAGTGGTAGATGCTAACTATAGAAGAAGATTGAGGAATTACAAACCCTTTGTCCCGGCATCATAATCAGCTGGGGTGTATTATGCCAAGTACCCTAGCATGAGGCACGAGAATATAGAAATGTTGAACCATTTTAGCAAGACAATATAGAAATCCAATACGATTTGATACAAAAAGTTGAGGATGATCTATTATTGAATGATCTAAATGGATTGTTTGTAGATATAGAATTAGTTGAGGCTTATGAAAAAAATGAGAAGGAACATGAATCCGTGACAAATGAGAGAGATGAAAACTTAAATAGTGATATGTTGGTTGTAATTAAATATACATTTTATTTATTGTATTAGTAATAAATGATGTATTTTTTTGTTTTATTTGTTATAATATATCATATTAACTTTGATATATTTTCAAAGTATTGGTTGTGTTGTGTTTTAAGCGAGGTTACGTATTAGGTAATAAGAAAATATCTAATTTTCAAGAGAGACTCTTCTAAAATTTTATTTTTTATGCTTACAATCGATAATATATTTTTTGTATTTTGTTTAATTAGCTTAGGTGATATTATTTAGTTATAACACGTGGTTTATGTCAACCTCCTATAACCTCTTAGGAATTACGATTTGGTAGTCGTGAACATGCATCCTCGACTGGTGGCAATGGACATACTTCCCCATCCCGTATCAAACGTGGATCTCCCCTTTTGATGCTCTACATAGGTCCCATAACATGGGATGTTCCTCTTATTCCTCCTCGAAGCTAGCACTTTTGTACTAGCTCTAGTATTATCTCCCTCCACGATCGTTCCCTTAGCGATAGGGGCTCCCCGAGCCATTGAGCTTCTCCGACTATCAATAAAGGGTCCCTCATCCATTGATATATCTTTTGGTCCGGGGAGGTCATGAGGCTCGATAGTTGACAATATGTGTCAATTGTTAATAATGAGTACGTAATTTGCTTAAAGTATTGTAATTGTTTTTTTATTTTAATATATCATTTCAATGGTTAATTATTATTATTTTTTTTATGGTGTTCAATAGTTTCCATCCATGTCGGAGGGATTACTCTAAAAGGATAACCATTATTGTCAAAGAGTAGTTAGACGTCCGTGGCTCTATGTAGAAGTCTATCTAAAAAAAAACGAGATAGTTTTACTAAAGTGAATTTCGGGTAACTTATTACTTATTTATTTGCATTATATTTAAAATATTAATTTAACATGAAATGAACTAATATTTATTTTTTTATTCATGCGAAGTATTTTTACTAAGATTCGATCATCAAGGCACATGCTAGAGATGCTTGGGAGGCTTTGGCTAGGAAACACTACTCTAACTTCATCCACAAGTAAGGTGCGAATGACGGAAGGCTTTTTTATTAGGCAAGGGGTGTGAATTCATAGCAGCGAGATTTTGCAACCCCTGTCATCGAGCTGCGTTTACAGCAGGCATCGCATAACTTAATGTCAAAGACCAATGGTGTTAGTTTAGGCCCGTCCGGTATATAGAGGGTCCATCTATGTTGTTGAGCATGCCCATCATATGGTAAATCCTATCTTATATTATTCAATGTTTAGGAAATTAATATTTGTAGCTCATATTATTTATGTCTATTTTTTTAGACACTCCAATTAGGGTATGAGTGTACTAATTTAAAGTTATTTGCGACCACCCACAAGTAAAAAGATGGAAATTTTATTGATTTACAAGCCCGAGACAATAATGATAAGTGTTTCTAATTTTTAAATTATAAATATGAATATATAATCTAAGAAATTATTTTATTTTTTAACATTGTAATTATTTTGATAACGTATGAGCGTATGGAGGAGTTGATATGGGAAGTTTTTAAGCAACGAGAGGCCGGAATTGAGGAGCCATAGGTCGGTATGGACTACATATACCTCAAAGCTATAAGAGGGGAGAAGAAGAGAAAGGTTGACGGGATCGGGTCATAAGCATTGCATTACTTATCTCATTCGGCTAGTGCTAGCTTGCCTTTCGTATCACGTAGTTCCCCGATAACAATGCTTATGATCGGATTTACAACCGGTACAAGGATACGGTGAGAGGAATATAGGTTAGGTTAGATGAGCGGAATAACATTATCATACGAGTAATAGATGAAGATCTAGGGGATGAAGACTTTGATTGAGTCAATTAAAGTGACATTAGTTTGGTCGGTGCGGATGTCTCGCTTACCTACTAACCCCTCCACTACCCAAACTCCATTGTCCCTCTCACCAAGCCTCAAAACTCTACCATCCCTCCCACTAAGCCTCGAACTCTACCGTCCCTCCCATTAAGTAGCAAGAAGATGAGAAATGATTAAATGATCATGATGAGGAGTGACTTTTACATTTTTTTTTAAATCTTTTTACTCTTTTTCTTACATACTAACGAATACTTTTTTTAATATGAATTTTAATTTAATTTATAATATTTTATTTTTAATACAAAAAAATTAATTTTTATAATAAGTTATTTGTTTTAATTGTTCGTTACTATCAAGAATATCAAAAAGTTTAAAATTAAATAATTTTTTTTAAATAGTAGCAATGCTTCAAGACGAGATATGAAGAAAAAAATATTCTAAAAAAATAGCGACAAAAAAGTACGATCGCTAGTTAGTGATGGAATAGCAACCCAATTTAGCGATAGAATAACAATGAATTTTCGATCCTTAGCGATAGATTTTAGACGAGTTTGCGACATAACCGTGACATATTATATGGTGGAAAGATGATGGTTTGGGCATCCACTTAGCGATGGAATAAAATGAATTATCCATCGCTAAGTTAGCAACAGTACATCGTACATTCCATCATAGAGGTTAGTGACAAACGTTTCGGTGATGGATTTTTTTGATCGTAAATATGTCGTTAAGTTATTTAAGCGGCATAATTTGCTATGATAGTGATGTATTTTTTCATCGCTATTTTGCTGTTTTTTTATAGTGCATTCTAGGCCAATTAAGTTCTTTTGTGATAACCAATCCACTTTGCTCTTTTGTAGAAATCTAGTATATCATGAGAGAACCAAAAACATCAAGATTGATTGTCATTTCATTAGAGAAAAGGTTCGTTTTGGTCTCATTCAACCTTATTATTTGCCTATTGATTAATAGCTTGTCGATATTTTTACATAGACTTTACGACTTGTGGTTTTCTCATAGTTTGCTTTATAGTGCATTCTAGGCCGGTTAACTTATTTTGTGAGAACTAGTCCACTTTGCACATCTTTAGAAATCTAGTATATCATAAAAGAATCAAACACATCAAGACTGATTGTCATTTCATTAGAAAAAGGGTCCTTATTGGTGTCATTCAGCTCCATTATTTGCTCATTGATTAGTAGCTTGCTGATATTTTTACATAGACTTTATAGCTTGGGATTTTCTCATAGTGCATTTTAGGCCGGTGAAGTTATTTTGTGATAAGTAGTCCACTTTACACATTTGTAGAAATCTAGTATATCATGAGAGAACCAAACACATCAAGATTGATTGTCATTACATTAGAGAAAAAGGTTCTTTTGGGTCTCATTCAACCCCATTATCTCGCCCATTGATTAGTAGCTTATTGATATTTTTACATAAGCTTTATAGCTTCGGGTTTTCTCACGGTTGCTTGCCAAGATGAGTCCGAATAACATTCATACTCATCTTGAGAGGAAGTATCAAAATAGCCCGATAAAGAGTTATGAGTTAGGTATGAGTGATATAGATTAGTTAGTTAATTAGCTAAATTAATGTGGTTAGTTTTGCTTTTATACTGGTATAAGTAGTGGAAGTGATCTCCGTAATGATTCTTCGATCAATGAAGTAATCTTTCACCCAAATCTTCTCTTCTTTCTTGTCTCTCTTACTCTTGTGATCAATCATGAAAGTTGACACTTCTAGTATATTAAGCGATTTGCTAACTATTATCGACTTATTCTCAAAAACCCACTCCACATTAAATATATTCTCATATAGTCCAGCTTGGATGGTAACAAGGAGCTTTATTAATCTAAAATCTAGCACACATGCCAAATATGGTTACCTAAAACAACCTCATAGACTTTGTTTGGACTGGCAAAGAAATATTAGTTATTATCTTTATTCCATCGATTTCTAATGCACATTCATCATGTTTCAAATAATTAAGATATATTAATTTTTTGCTATAATGAGAAGAAGAAAAAAAGCTCATTTAATTTTGTTTCATGATCACCTTAACCCTTTCATGATCCAAAAAAGAATAAAACAAAATCAATGTAATTTTTTTAGAACCTTTATAAAGATAAAGAAGCCCATTCTCAATGAGTTTGTAGATCAACTGACCGTATTAATGTCTTTCGAATCTCAAAAAGTCTTTGAATTCGAAATTCTACTTTCATAACAAAAAATAAAAATGAAAACCCCATTAATATTATTATAGACCTTAATAATAAACAAAATAAAAAGCATACATATATTAGTTATCTTTATTCCATCATCGTTATAACACACTTTCATGTCCCAAATGATGAACTAATAACATCGATCAATCATATTTTTTTCAGAATCTTGATTCCCTTCCAACGAGACTCCATGTAATAAGAATCATCATCCTGTGCATAAACCCCACACTTGAAGTAATGAAATTCCCCTCCACGCCCATGTGCCTCATACATGAGCACCCCATCAATATAGACCTTAACTTTCGAAGCATCAACATCATGGATCACGTTTACTCGAAACCATCTATCATAGATATTCGGGACAATGACTGAATCTCTATAGTAATATAGTGTGCCATTGTAGACTCTAAGCATTAAGGTTGTATTATGACCTCCACCAGCTCCAAACACTTGCATGATACACACTCCTGATGTACCACATGGCACGTACCCATATCCTTCGAATTGCCACACACCAGAAGAGTAATTGTAACCCTGTGCAAACAAAAGATTGAACAAAATTATAAGTCAATTAGAGGAAAAATGACGTGATGAGAAATAGTTTTGTTAGTGTTATACACTGATTATGATCTCTGTTCGAGGCTTGGTGGGGCTATTTTTGGATAGAGGATTGTCCGTGGCATACACCCATAGCTTGTGGATGCCATTCAAGAAGCTATACCGATAAGTTACAGGCAAGTTGTAAGGCTTTTGGATATGGTAATGAGATGTGTTAAACGGGAGTTGTGTGAAGCCAATGGTTGGATCAATAGGCGAGCCAGTTGACTGACTGATGAGTAGGAGAAAACTAAAGGCGAATGGTAGAGCAAGTTGGTAAAAAGAAGCCATCTCTTCTTTCTGAGAATGGATGGAGTGCAGAAGAGTAGATGTGAAATGAAGCACTGATCAAGTATAGGCTGTTTTTAATAGTTTTGAGTGTGTAAAGCAGAAAATGTAAGTAGAGAGAAATTAACTGTCAAAAGAGAAAAAACACTGTTGCCATCAGTAGAAAATTGAATGATAAAATGATTGAATTTCGTAAGGTTGAGAGGATATCGATTTTGAGGTAATGCGTTGATGAGGCAGGTTTAAACCAGGTGATTGTGTGGTGTATGCACCCAAAAAAGAAAAGGCAGGTAGAGCTAGTTCATGAACAACAAGTGATCTTCACACTGTGAAAATCGAATAGCTTTGATTTATAGTTGTTGGGCTCTCTCCTAATCTAAAAAGATTTATTAAATTCATCAAGTTGTTACAAAAATCAAAACGGCCAGTTATTAAGGGATTTGTTTTTTTTTTTTTGGCCGGCTTTGGGTAAAATATTCATTCCTTTGGATCGTATACATTTTTTTTAATAACATTCGAATTTATAAGTATTTAATAATTAAAATTTTTAATTCTATATAAAAAAAAAAATCATCCAAAATCTAAAGGTTTAAATTATTAGATAAGTTTTTAAAAAAATTATCTTACATATATAAGATTCCAAGTCCACTAGAGGAGACAAAATACAACCATTTTTTTATTTTTTATTTTTTTGTCTCCAAATTTGATTTCTGTTTCCCCGTTCCTTATGGGACAAATGTTCCCCTCGAGACAAAAGGGCATCTAACATGTAGATGATACCATACCACTAGTAGGCGGGAAAGCAAATCACGAGGATGAGGCCAAATAGTTTCAGAATCTTGTAGCTAGTGATCATCTAAGAACTTTTGGCAGGGAAAACTCATGTTCACGAGTGATTTCTGTGGTTATTATTCAAGTGTTTTTCAATTTAAAGTTACAGATACCATACTACTAATTTGTCACTTTCATCAACATCACGGACTCATATATATATTTATTATTAATTAGCAATCACTTTGCAATTAATTTAATTATATTAGGCTGGGATATTGATCTGTCCAAGCATTTGTAAGAAACAACATACAAAGACTAATTTTATGCAAAATGAAAAATTAAGCTACTGATATAATATCCTTATGAGTGCAAGTTGTTGATGATCACTTCATCTATGCTAGAAATGAAATGATCTGTTTGGAAGTTTTGAAAGGATTCCCAAGTGGTCTAATAGTATGAAAAATCATTTTAATAATTTTATTCCACCAATCCTATATATATATAGATACACAAGTTTATACTCTAAATATTATACGAATTACATCTTTTTTAGAACCTTGATTCCCTTCCAATGAGACTCCATCTTGGGAGATCCATCATCCTGTTCATAAACTCCACATTTAAAGTAATGAGATTCCCCTCCTCGTCCATCTGCTTCATACACCATTGCCCCATCTATGTAGATATGTAGTTTGTCAGCATCAGCATCATGGATCACATTAAGTCTAAACCATCTATCATAAATGTTCTTGGCAATCACTGCATCACTGTAATAATGGAGGTCACCATTGTAGGTTCTAAGCATTAGGGTTGAAGCATGATCACCACTAGCTCCAAACACTTGCATGATGCATACCCCAGATGTGCCACTTGGTACGTACCCATGTCCTTCAAATTGCCATACACCCGAAGAGTAATCGTATCCCTGTTAGCAGAAAGATAATTAATTATATATATGAATGATTAGCAAATTAATTCTTATTGTGGAAGTAATTTCACTACCAAATATTTACATGTATCCGTATTTTAATTGGAAATTTTAGACCAAGAGTTTAATTTAGAGAAGGTGCGAATCAACAAGCTGCTAAAGTTATCTAAAATCATTTCTTGATCTAAAAATGGCCAAGAGAATCCATATATACTTCACTTCTTGTAAATAATATATAAATTGTTGTTTCGAGTACTGCAAAACAATTGCTTGAGAAATGTCATTAAAAATCTAATTATATGTAGTCACATTTATTAAAAAATCACGAAACGAGCAAGAATATGGTCTAATGAAGAATGATTTAATTAATCTAGTAGGTGGGCATAATAATGATAATAAGAGGTAATGACTCATCAGTCTTTTATATAATTATATAATTTTTTTAATCTATCTTTACATCTTTAATTTAGTTAATTTTATCTGTAAATATGCTTAAGTGTGTAATATATCTTTTTTATAAGATTTTTAGGTCAAACAATCAAAATTAATTACGTGATTTGTATATAATTATTTTTTATTTTTAAAATTTCATTGTAAGTCAGATAAATAGAAGGGTTTTAGGTACAAATTTCGCTAATAATTTTGATTTTTTAACTTTAAAATCTTGCTAAAATGATACTTATATAAAAAATAAAATCAAATCGGTTAAAAATCTAAAAATATATATTAAAAAATTACCACTATAATGATAACAGTAAAATAATAAAAATAATGATAAAGATATGTTGGTCACTTAATTACCTGTATACGGATCTCAGTTCGTGGTCTAGTATGGCTAGTAGGGGAATGAGGCTTATCATTGGAGAACACCCACATCCTATGAATGCCATTTTCGTAGCTATATCTTTGATCCTCTTGCATATTATATGGCCATTGAACATCAAAATTTGATTGATCAAGAGTAAGAGAGGTGAATCCTTGTGTGGGATCCATTGCTCTCGAAGCAATTGCTTGGTACGATATCAAGCTGAAACACAAAAGACTCAACAGAACAGTATTCGAAGCCATTTTTTTTTCTTTTTCTTCCAGTGATTAAGGAAAGGCAAATGGGAGATGTTTATGGGATTTGGTTAAGGAAGAATCATGGTTATTAGCTATATATATATATATATATAGCTAGTATACTTTTACATAATCTAAAGTATGGCCAAATGAGGATTCCATCGGATAATAATGAAACAAAAACAATATAGTGGAAAACAATTTTACGGCAAGGTAGATTCCTCCAATCTTTTTTTAATTTGTTTGCCCATCAATTTTACGCTACTAAAAAGTTGGGAAGCCAATTTTGTTACTATTAGTTGTACCAAATAATAGTAAAGAAAAGCAGTTGATATGACCAAATACTTCGAAGAAATCAGTTAAAAATTAAAAAGCAGTAAAGAAAAGTGGCTGGCTTGTCCAATTACCCCAATAGCCTGCAGGGCACGATGAAGCAGGGTACTTGTCAAACAATTCCTAAGATATGAATTGAATTTACCTTTGCGATTAGTGGCTGGCTTTCGACCACCAAATTGCCAGCCACGATTCATACTTGTTTATGGAAACTTCTTTTTGTAGTTAAATTTATAAATTTGTTTTCACAATCTCTCTAATCTTCCATCTCATTTACAAAATAAAATAAAAAATTAATGTTTCAATATATTTTTATATAACAAAATAAGTCTATAATCTATCTTTATATTTTTAATTGAACTATTTTTATCCTTATTATACGTTAAATATTCAATATATAATATTGTCAAAAATTTCAAATTAAACAATTAAAATCAATCACATGATTTACATATAAAAATATGTTATTAACCTAAAATAAAATTCACATTGAACTAACCTTTTCTTTTTTTTAACAATTGAAAAGAACATAATAGGTTGGACGCTGTACAACAAAGATGCTTTCTTCTTCTTCTTCTCCTTTTTTTATATATTTTTTTTTCATTTCCTAAATCTTGCTTTCCTTTTCATAAGATAGATTTGAACTAATAAATTAATGAAATTTAAAGGTTTAACTATTCGATTTGGATGTCATTTCCACTTCATAAATTGTTTTTTTTTTCCTTAAAATCTATTGAACAGTATTTAGTGTACTCATATTTTATCATGTGATGTAGGTAATTGTAGTGTAGGTAATTGTGGTAGTGATCACCATTTATTTAACTATATAGTGTCTAGTATTAGTTAGTTTGTTTGCTTGGTTTTTTTTTTTTTTTTTTTGAACCGATATGAATTAAAAATATTAGCCATAAAGATAATGACTAATACAAATATATTACATAGTTTAAGGCTACAAATATTAGTTTGTTGGTTATTTTATTGTTTGGCCTTAAGTGCCAATGTTCTTCCCTTAGTTAATTGCTCTGTTCAGAAATAGAGTATGCATGTCAGATGCTCATTGGTGGCAGTTCCCTTAATATTCAACCGTAATCATACATGACACCTTTACTTTTCACATTTGGTCAAACCAAAATCGATCTCTACTTTAAATTTAATCAAAGTAAGCCCCTTACCCAAACATGTAAATTCTTTGTAACCTGTTGGCTAATTATTTTTATTTTTATTTTTTGGTTATAAATGAGAGATTTGAACTCAGAGATTTCTAGAAAAGAGAAAAAAAAACTATTAATACCAGTTCAGTTACAGCTCATTGACGGGCTGATGAGTTTTCTTAACTTGTATTTTTTTTTCCCCTTCAATTTAACTCCTATGTGACTTATGTGTTTTAGTTTTGATCCAGCAAAGCATAGGGACAAACTTGATTTCAGACAATTGCAAATAAATATTGGTAGTAAAAAGAAAAAAAAAGGGGGAAATTTATTGTTTTAATTACTAATAGTAACATAGAAAATTAAAATTTTAGGAATTTTATTCCATCAAATACACTATATCTATCAATCACATCTTTTTGAGAACCTTAATTCCCTTCCAACGAGATTCCATATAGTGAGAACCATTGTCCTGTTCATAAACTCCACATTTAAAGTAATGAAAGTCTCCTCCACGTCCATCTGCTTCATACACCATTGCCCCATCAATATAAACATGTAGTTTGCCAGCATCAACATCATGGATCACATTAAGTCTAAACCATCTATCATAAATGTTCTTGGCAATCACTTCATCACTGAAATAATACAGGTCGCCATTGTAGACTCTAAGCATTAGGGTTGTGGCATGACCAGTAGCTCCGAACACCTGCATGATGCACACACCAGATGTTCCGGTTGGTACATATCCATGTCCTTCAAATTGCCATACACCAGAAGAGTAATCATATCCCTGCATGCGCACGCATTTAAAGATTACTTGAATTGTGAGCACTGGTAATTGAAATCATTGGTTTACTCAAAACATAGACACTGTAGTTATCGTAGATAATAAGAATAGCTTACATGGATACGGATCTCGGTTCTGGGTCGAGTATGGCTTGTTGGAAAGTGGGGCTTATCGTTGGAGTACACCCACATCCTACGAATACCATTTTCGAAGCTGTATCTTTGATTTTCATGCATATTATATGGCCACTGAACATCAAAATTTGATTGATCAAGAGGAAGGGAGGTGAATCCTGCTGTGGGATCCACTGGTCTCGAGCCAATAGCTTGGTATGATATCAGCAAGAAATACAAAAGACTCAAAACAACAATCTTTGAGGCCATTTTTTCTTTTAGTAAGCAAAGGCAATGGGAGATGTTTATGGGATTTTGTTAAGAATCATATATAGTTGATAAGCTATTTATATAGCAAGGAATTGAGTAAATTATAAATTAATCCTTTTGATTTTACAAAAAAAATTAAATAGTCCTTTTTGTTTTAAAAACTAATTAATTAGTTTTTTTTTAGTGTTAATCATGGTTAATTTAATATTATTTTGTTTCAAAATGTTTTTTTCTCATCAATTTTTTGTTATTTTTTTTATTTACTAGAAAAACAAAATTTATTAAAAAAATAAAAATAATTAAGTTACAAATAGATTAAAAATATATATAGAAGCTAAATAATTAGTTATTAAAACCAGAAGAACTATTTATTTATTTATTATTATTATTATTTAAAAAAAAAAACTAAAAGGACTAATTTATAATTTGCTCGTAGGAGGTTTGCATTCGATATAAAGGGTGACCAAATGAGGATTATGGAACAAAAACAATCTACTGGAAGACAATTTTACGGCATGGGAGTTTCCTCTAATCATTTTTTTAATCGGCTTTTAGCCGTTTACGGTACTAAACGAAAATAGACAGCAAAATTTATCATTATTTTTTCCTTGGAGGTGACCAAATTATCAGAAGCAATTAAAAATTAAACAGCAGTTAAAAAAGTAGGAGACCATTAATGCCCATGACCATTACTCTCCAATTAGGTAAAGAAAAAAATATTGATGATATTCTATGTTGAACGGTCTCTCTATATATATATATTAAGATGTTCATTTTATAATATGAATTAAAATCAAATTCATTCATTTATTTTCTTTTTATGATAATTGAATTAGATTAAAAAAGCAAGTAAGATACTGACAAAAGCAAAACAAAAGTTTAAAGAGCAACCCAACGAGTAAATTATAAATTAATATCTTTAATTTTGAGAAATAAATTAAATAATCCTTCTTATTTTAAAAACTAATTATCTAATTATTTTGTTTATTTTATATTATTTTTCTATTTTTAAAAAATAAAAAAATATATATAGATTCTATGAAAAAATTGTTAAAAATAAGATTGTTTTTTTTTTTACAAAAAGTAATATTAAATTAATTATGATGAATATTATTAACCGACTGAATAATTATTTTTTAAAAAAAATTAATTTATTTATTTTTCAAAATTAAAAGATTAATTTATAATTTACTCCTACTAAACAAAACAACATAGAGATTAGAAAACTTGATTTATATCAAAGTTACATTGTGGTTGGATTTAGTAAATTACTTGTTGCGACACTCGTTAAAAAGGTTGTTGCTTTCATCAAACCGTTAAGGCACTGGAGATTGTAGGTTGTCGCTTGTCGCTTGTCGCTTGTCGCATGAGCCATATTACCGAACACTTGGAGCCATTGCATTCATGCTGCTATATCATAGTCTGAGTAAATTATAAATTAATCTTTCTAGTTCTCAAAATGATGCAAAACCGATTAAATAATTCTTCTAGTTTTAAAAAACAATTAATTAATCCCTTAACTAAAGTTGATCTGTTCAATTTAATATTATTTTATTTTAAAAATATTTATTTTTATCAATCTTTCAATATTATCAATCTTTTTCTTTTTCTTTTCTTTTTTAATTTATTAAAAAAATACATTGGAAACGAAAATGAAATGAACGAAAATGATGAAGTTATCAATAGATTTTAAAACGTAATATAAAAACCAGTTAATTAAGTTTTTAAAAATAAATAAAAAAGATTATTTTATTTGTCTTTCAAAACTAGAGTGACTAATTTATAATTTACTCTTCAAAGTTTATATTATTAGCGATTGCTTAAGTACAACTTATTCATATTAAAGTAGTTTGGATTAAAAAAAAATATGTGGAAATGTGGATATAGTTTTGCTTGATGATATTTGGTTTTGTCATGACACATGAAATGTATTCATGAATAACTCGATGTCATATAGTTCATGTTCATGTATATGTTTAATGTGCATTATACACTATAAAAAAAGAGTCAATTAGCGACAGATTATTTCATTGCTAATCACTCTAAATCTGTCGCTAATTGCCATTAGTGATGGACCGACGACGAACAACCTATTTGTTGCTATTTTGCTTGTCGTTACTTTTAACGAGGGAAGGAAAAAAATCCATTCCATCGCTAAATTAGAGACCGTCGTTGTTTTCATAGTAGAACTGTCGTGGCTTCCGTCGCAATTCCATCGTGATATTTTTAAAAAAATAAATATTTTTTTCATTTTATTTTATGTTTTTACAATTATTAATATTTCATTTAATATCTAATAATTAATATTGGATGTAATAGTTAACAATTAAAAGTAATAATGTGTAAATTGAAAATGAATTAATTTTAACGAGTAATATTTAGTAGTACATTCGGTAAAATAAAACAAAGTTACTAAATGTTTGTTCTATCACTCATCCTCGCTCGTCTAATCCCATATCCTCCTTCGGTACTCGTATTAAGGGCTCGGTAGGAGAATCGGGTGGAGGTTGAACGGGAGGTTGTGTGGAAGGAATGGTAGATTGATGACTAGTCAACGGATCTATAAGAAACCAATAAATTAAAAATTTCTTAAAAAATAATCAATAAAATTTAACTAAAGTACGTACAAAGTTATATAATTTAAAAATTAACTTAAAACAAAAAACTAACAAAATTCACCTAATAATTAACACAATTAATTATTTAATTAATTTAAAATAAAAATTAAAGATTAAATAATTAAATTTTAATCTAAAAATTAAAAATAAATAAATTAATAATAAATCAACCTTAACTAAATTACTTTAAAAAATTACATTAATAAAATTAAACCTAAAAAATTAACATAATTAAAAAATAGCACTTAAAAAAATTAATCTAACAATTAAGAAAATGAAATAAACAATTAACAAATTTACACTAATAATTAACAAATAAATTAACACAATTAAAAATTAACAACATTCAAACAATTAATCAACTAACAAATAACAAAATTAACTCAAAAGTTTATAACATTCATTTAATTAAAAACAAAAACAAAAGAGTTAGAGAGAGAAAGTATTACCAAAGAGATCAAGGAGAGAGAGAGAGAGAGAGAGCGAGAGATTTCATTGGATTTTGAGGGAGAAAGATGCACCTCATCGAGTTGAATGGTTTGGGGAGTCACTTGGTGGCGAGGGGTGGCGTGGGTGGTGGTTTTCTACTCGACGGTGGATTTTTAGATGGAGGAAAGAGGGGACCGAATGGGAAAAAAGAAGAGAAATTGTGTATTTATAGGCCTAGAGATTAGCGACGGACACAATTTCATCACTAATCCATCGCTAATTAGCGACGGAATCACCAATCTATCGTTAATTAGTGATGGAATCATAAATCCGTCGTTAATTTGAATCGTATGGGTGGAAAAATTTTCACTCAAAATTTCAAAAAGAAAAATTCGTCTTTATTTTGAATGTAAAATTAGCAACGGATTTAACAATTCGTCCTTAATTAGCCATTTTGGTGGGAAAATTACCACGAAATCGAAAGAAATAGTGATGGATTCTCAAATTTGTCACTATATTTGGTTTTAAATTAGTGACGGATTACTATTCCGTCACTAATTTGAACACCGAAAGGCAACCCATTATCTTTTATTTAGCGACGAAATAAATCGATCACTATTTATCAAGCGATGGCGATGGATCTTATTTTGTAGCTAAATTAGTGACGAAAATCTATTGTTAATCCATCGCCGAACATGATGCTTTTTTTTATCGTGTAATTTTACGAAGAAATTAATTCCATCGCTGAGTTTTCCTCGCATTCTATTGCTAATTTGTCACAAAAATCACCCTTTTCTCATTCCTTGTTAATTCGTCATTAATTTGTCTATAATTAGAGACATAATAGTATCCATTGCTAAACTCCGTCGCTAATTGTCAATTTTCTTGTAATGATAATTGTATTCACACCATGAAATGTTTTATATCATGATTTTAAGCATTCAAGAAAGGACACGTACATGATTTTTATAAGGATGTGACATGGCTAGACATGTTCAAGAGCGACAAGGAAATGATCAATCCTAATTAGTTTCATTAAATTGAACATGTCTAGAGCCTTTATGACAAAAAGAGGACTAAAACTATATGTATTCAACAAGGTACATCCGGAAGATAGAAAATAATTTGTTGAATGTAAAATGATGGTTTTAATTGCTTTTCATGCAAGGTTACATTTACAAAATTTTAGCTCACTGTTTTGTCTTATGGTGTATGTAACCAAAGCAACACTTGAGGATCAATTATATTCGGACGATGCTGTCTCGTGAGCTACAAAGTTTGTAAAATCTTGTACTACAAGTCTAGGTTTAAATTTTGAAAGCTAAACCATTGTTAGGTTTTGCCACTTTTGGGTAACGCCTAGAGTCGGCTATTTTAGGTTATAGATGATACACTTTTAAATCTTGGATGTGTTTTATATCTTGGATGTGTGTGTGAGAGAGAGAGAGAGAGAGAGAGAGATTTAAAGTAAATAGATGTTTATGTATGAATTGAGGATATTAATGGATCAAGCTTGATTTATGCTCTCATTAGTTTTAATCCAAGGATGATTATACTCATTTTAAGCTTATGTTTCAATTGTGAATGGAAATGAAAGAGTTTAGATTATGCCATAGGTTGCAAAAAGAATTATTAGCATTAAACATCAAATCTTAGGAAGCCATGAATTTTAAACCAAATAAGGAATTCCACTATGTGTTGTCATAGAGGTCTAGAGTAGAGGACACAATGCATTGCCTTGCACTCTCCGAGTTTGAGATAGTATAGTAACACTCTCGGCTCCCTATTGGACCACGGGCGTTACATATTCCACATTCAATATTGAATATTTAAACAAAAGATAAGTAAAATATAAAGTTGAGAATAAATCACCTACTACAAGGCTTAAGTCTTTTGGATAGATCCCAATTTCAATTATATAAGTCTATATGTTATCAAAGCCTTAAACTACTT